CTCAGCACCCTCACAGGGAAGGATTTTTCCCTAATACCTGATCTACATCTCCCCTCTGTCAGGTTAAAGCCATTCCCCTTGTCCTGTCCCTGTCTTTAACTTCCTTCGAATAGTCAGAGATCAGGAACTACTTCGGATGTGTTTGGCAAATATCTTTAAAGCACTTACCGTCCCTGAGTAGCAATCCTTTCATGCAGAATACCCACTCTGCTCCTTCGCTGGCTCGTTGCAGACATATCCTGTTGTCTTTACGTGCTGGGTGACACAAAGGCAACCTTAGATCACAGTATACACACAGTGGAGCTCATTACCTTTTGCAAATCTGTGCAAGTAACTGCCAAATGGCAATCTTTCAGCCACAGGGCTGTAGAAAGGGCATCCGCCAGGTACTGCGGGGACTTGGTTTTATTTTTGAGCATGGACACATGCAAATACAAGTAATTATTTTTTTTTTCCAGGACCAGAGCGTTACGCATTTTAAGCACCACTATCCTTAGAACGGCTTCCATTGTCAGGATAACCTGGCTCCACTGGCAAGGTCCAGGCTTACACCACGTTCTGCAAGCCCAGCCTTCTCCCACACAAGCTGTCTGCCATCAGGTGGACGAGATGGGAATTCCAGTCACCAGCTCCTTTTTATTCCCCCAGGAATACTTCAGGAGATTGGCTGGAGCATGACCTCCTCTCTGAAAAGCATTTAGGTAACAGCTAAGAGCTGCATAAGGAATAAGTATACTGCACTCCACCGATTTTATTTTAACTTAGGTGTTTTCATTTTTTAGCAGTCTCTGCTCAAGACTGAGCATTTCACAACAAGGGCTTCATTTTCATCTGTAGGAGCAGAGGGCTACAATTGCTGTTACATGAACAGTAAATTCATGTATTAAGTAGTAATACTTTGCAGCTAATCCATGGAGAAAATGGTATTTTTTCTAATGTATGGTTTCCAGACTGTGGTTAAAACACTGAAGGCAAGCATGATGGACTATGCTCTGGTTAACTGTTCTCTTGGAAAGCACTCTGGCCCTGCTCACAAAGTGCAAGTGAGAGGCAACAGCAGCTGGTGATTCTCTGTATTGTCATTTATTGGTGAAGATGAAACTGTGATTCACATCCATAACACTGTGACAGAACAACCATCACGGGGACTCTCGGATAGTAAAAAGGAACTTGAGAATGGATTAAAAGATCTTTGCCTTTAATTATTCTGAGCTGGTTTTCTTATGGCTGCTAGAGAGACACTCTGCCTTAGGACCCAAACTGCATAGGCTGTTCTGATAAACCTGCAGAATTAAGGCACTTCTACCAAAACAGATTTCAAAAGGCAACAGGTCAGAAAACAACAATTAAGTAACTTGCATATGCCTATATATTAAAAGTTTTAAGATAACCTGGTTTGTATTTAGTTCACACGAACAAATTAAGAAAATATAGCAGCATACAACCTATGAAAAGCTTAAGAAATTTATTAGATGCACGGATAAAGTGCTGTAACAGAGAAACTTGTGTAAATCTTTTTTATAATAAATAAGGTACAGTTAAACCACCTTTGACTCATTTTAGCTCCAAAAGAAAAGTCAGCCTAAGTTTTAATGATTCGAGTTTTAAGGTCAAGGTGAAATATATCATAACTCTAACAGTGGTCATGATCGATATCATATATTTGAGGCTCCTGTTCCTCTTGAGGTTTCCCAGAAACAGGAAGGCTATTGCAAAACATATACGTTAGACATAGTTCCTTTCACAGAAACATTTTTGTAATAAAGTGTGGTTGCTCAAATACATGTTAAAATATTTAACAAGGAAACAATTTTCTTCTGATCCAGTCGATCTTTTAAACAAGACAATGTATTTTTCCAACAATGCAGCCCACAGGAGGGGACGGAAAGAAACATCCTCCTTAACTGGAGACTGTTTTGCTTTAAGAACTAAACTATTGCATTATACAAGAGCAAGAAACACCCATTTTGTGTTATCCCTTTCTCCAGACACACAGCCCACAGACAGACTTATTTTTACCTTAATCTCAACAGTCCGTTTGTCTTCAGCAAAGACACACATTAAAAAGAAGTTCCCTTTAAGGGTCTTACTGTGAGATCTTTTACTGCCTTTCCATCTGGGGAAGCTCTCTGACAGAAGGGACTGTGGCTGTTGGAGTTTTGGACACTACCAGGTTTTTGTGCTCTGTTTTCTGTCATTTCAGGCACTTCGGGGCTAACATGGCTGTTTGATTTAAGTCAATGCAATAATACTAGCAATACGTTCAATACTCAGAAGGGTCACCACAGTTTCCTTCATACAGTCAGGATTTCAAATTCTTCTTCCAATTCAAATAGCTTGTCAGTAGATTCAATAAGTTCTGGAAAAAATATAAAAAAAAAAAAAAAAAATCAAACAATTCAGACTCTAAAGACATTGTTTACTAAAAAAATGCCAAGAAACCCACTCCCCCCAAACCCCAAACCAGACAAAAAAACAAGCAAACATAAAAAACCCACCAAAACCCCCTTTTCTGAAATGTGTCCTTCAAGGTATTTTGCAATATTAGGAAAACGTGTATATATTATCTCTGTGTGAGCAATTGTATGTGGTCTGGATGGATACAGGGCTGATATTCTGTAAGAATAAGGCGTTTCATCACGGGGCGAATACTTTGTCCTTAGAAAAGTGCAGTTGTTGCTCCTGCGATGACTGCTCTCCCTGCCAAGGAAGAAGGCTCTGCCACACTGCTTTCAGTCAGTACCGCACCTGCTCCTGTAGTTGTCACCTCTGGCTTGCTTGGTGGCACAAAAGGAGGCCAGTGTGGTGGATGCTTCTGGACCAGCTCGAACATCCGTAGACTCTGTTGCTTTAGAATCTCCTGAGGATGGAATACTCTCATTATAAAGATGCCTCAAGAGAGCCTTCAAACACAAAAATTTCTGCTTCATTCAAAACGTTTGTAACTATTATGTATGTCTATCAAAATCCAAAGGCTTCATGCGGACATTCAGAGAAAAACAAGTACATGCCATTATGAATCACTGCTTCCCAGATCTCCGTAACATTTTCCTAGCTGAAAACACACCTAGAAGACAGATAACCTGCCCTACAAGTTATCAGTGCGTTCTAACGAGCTCTGATATCCATACCCTTATAATTTTGTTTACATGTAGCAAACAGACACCGAGAACAAGCACTATTTTCTGCCTTTTGAAAGAAAATTACTTGCATGGATCAATCTGTGTTCAAGCTTTCTGCTGATCGATGGAAACAAAAGACAAATCTATCACCAGCTCAAAAAAACCCCAACAGATTTTGAAGGACAAGTTTTGATCAGGAGAAACAAGTTACTAATGAAGCCAAATTCCACTCCTTTTCAAGCAGGTAAGCTGTATCATATCCTGTATTTCAGTTATTCACAAACTGCTTTCATTAGCCTTTTTTTTTTTAATTAATGAATGCCTTTCAAGGTTGGTGTTATGCTCATGTGCTGTTCAGTATACCAGCTGAGTGCAGAAATGTCCTGTCCTGTGGCAGCAAGTGCCTTTGCTGTCCCACAGCTCAGCAGGAGCTGGAGGGATGCAGCACTTACAGAATCAGCTCTGCTACGGTACCAGGGCCTAAGTCATAATTAGAACATTTGAAAAATACTATGTTAAACAATAAAGAAGGACTAGGAAACAAACAAATAAAGAAACTGCTTCAGCTTGGCAGTTCATACTTAATTTGAACATTTATTGCTCCAGTCAGTGACTAAGTTTCAGCCAGTAACACAGTAGTGTGAAAAAAACCACTAACTTAAGGGTATACAAAAACTTGTTTTCCAGGTGGCAGGGTTGATGGTTGTCAGAATGCTGAGCAAGCTCCAATCAGCACTTCAGTAGTACTGGCTTGCCCTGATGCACTAATGCATCCTTCTCTGGTTCATTTATTTTGCGCACAGGGAAAGATGCAATGGGAATTTCCATTAAAAGATTGTATGTTATTTCATCCAGAGCAACTCAAGAGAGTATTATTACCTTTTGTACAAGACTACACCAGTTATCAAAATCACATTCTTCTTTGCAAAAGAAGCCCTAAGGAAAAAAATACATATAGTAGTGGTATTAAATAATAACAGTATGGCAATGAGCAAAGGATGCTGTGCTATCTTTATGCCTTGTAAAAAGCTTTAGAAACCTATGTCTCAAGTGACAACCACCCGCCACCCAGCCAAAGGACATGGGCATGGGATCAGATTTAATTCCTTCAACTACCATCGCGTTCCGTATTGTATACTGGATGACTTCTACAAGTTAATTCCATTTAAAGATTTGTAAATTATATAAAATAAATTAATCTTAAGTAACTCGTCCAGAATGACCTTATATATATATGGTAGTGATGGAATAAAATAGAGAAACCTGATTCAGTTACTTACTTTGACCTTCAAAATACTTTTTGCAAAAGGTAAATGCTGCTCAGTAAAGAAGATTAATTAACTCCCTGGATATAAACAGTCAATTCCCTGCCTGACCTAAGACTAATGCATCCTAGGCAGTTAATATATAAACTACCACGTGTTGATTTTTAGAATGTAGAAGACTGCCCTGTGATCCCGATTCTGCTCAAGGAAATGCCTTTATCAATACACAGAGGTATTACTTTGAAATAAAGTACACGCATCTGTTACTCCCTAACACCTACTAAAGCTACTGACGGGTCCAAATTCATAATCTTCATTCTGTGTGGGGCTTGCTGGCAGTGGAAGCTCTCGTCATCAACTGTGCCATTCTCTTCTGAATCTACAAAACTTTGAGTGGTGTGAGGGTCCAAATAGATCAGCTCATTGCCTGCAGGGGTAAAATCCACAGGTTGATAATAAGCAAGAGGCTTCAATAAGCACTTAGTCCATCCAGACATGTAGAACAGGAATTAGATTATCATCACAGTCTGTGTGTTGTCTTTCCAGCTAGGAAGTCTTTAGGGGAATTGGAAAGACATGTTCAGTAGTTTCCCCCAGGCAATTTAGTATAATTTTCCATTGTGACCTGCTAAGGTAGATTTTTTGGCTGGTTTGTTCTACCTTTGTCACATATTTTCCCTTTACTACATGAGGTCCAATATACTTTTTAAAGATCTCAACCATTATAATCCCAAACATTCCACAGATCAAAAGTTATGGAATGACCACAAATGCAATCTGTAATCCCATTAGGCATTCATTCAGAAATTGGAACAAGGACATCTGACTAAAACAGTTCAGGTTTTACAAAAGGAAGAACAAAACAGCCATAAAATTATGCCTCAAACTGGGATGCAATCTGGTATTAACTATTGCTTTAATTTAAAGGAATACATGGAAGAAGATGAAAAATATTCTGGTGTCAGAAAAGGTTTGAAATATGAGAAATTCATTTAAGAAAACTGTGAAGCAGAAGAACAAAACAAGACACCCTTTATTAGGAAGTATTAAAGATTAGGGAAAATTCTGTATTTTTGCAGTCGAGACATTTGGCACTTGTCAAGTGCTATAAACTTTTCTCAGTGTAGTGTTCTTGCTTCTATCATTATTTAATTTTACATCAAGCTTTGCTGCTACTTTTCCATTCTTATAGGGATGGTATCATACTGTTCCTGAGGTATTTGAAATATTTTTCTTCATTTCTTCTACTCTATTCTCATGCTTAAACTGCTTAATATTTCCTCTTCCAAAAAAAAAAAAACCTCTTTCTCTTTAGATCCTATGCATACTTGGAACAAGTTTCTTTTTTCCTTACCTAGAAATCCTATGAAATAATAGGCATTATTTGGTTTCCCTCCTAACGCTCCCAAGGACTGTGGCATCTTAAAGCATTCCTAGGAGTTCAAAGGGAGAAAAAAAATGAAATCACTACTGATATAACAGATACTTCAACTTATTTCACAATAACAAACAATTCAATGAAAAAAACCCCAACGTACTTTAAATGCATCAATATATACTGGATTTATGTGATTTATCCCTAGCCGTAGAGGTATGATAAGCAAGAGGGGCTTCCAGCCTGTGCAGAATCCTGCTGTGTTCCTGTTTCGGCCCAGAGCACTCCTGTGCAGATGTGCAGTGCTGTGGGCTGTGCTGCTGCCCTGTGGAGGGGACCAGCACATTTTCTCTGTGGGAATAAAAATAGAACTCGGTGAATGCACAAAGGAACACAGAGCAGATCTTCCTCTCAGTCATGAACTGAGCCACTTTCCCAGACATCTTTACAGAGCTCTTGTTTTAAGACAAAAGGAGCAGGGCATGGAAATCGTAACTACTTAGGAGCAGTAACTCCAGCAGACAGAGTATGTGCTGGCACATTAGTGAGACATGAGATAAATGACTGGGGAATGAACATTCAAGACTGGAAGTTACATTTACTACTAGCATTACAAATACTGTCAAGCTTTGCCTGGGAAATGAAAGGGCAGATGACAGCATTAGAAACTCTTCAGAGAACTCTGTCCTTCCAGTGATGTAAACATAAAACAAGCAGAAGTAGGGGCTAGAGTAGAAATAGGCTGTGGGTAAATACCACTTGTAAACCCACCCTTCTTACAAGTGAAAATTAAGCCTGGACATTTGTGTTCCTCTAGGATCTGCCCCGGTCTCTCCTTGGCACATGTCTTTGGCAAACTCTGTATTAAAAACAGTTCTCTCTATTTCTACATACTGCAACTTCATTCCATTTCTGGGATAGGAGTTTAGACAGCACAGATCAAACTCCATCTTCTTCTAACTCGCATGGTCTGTAAGTTGGCCACCCAAATGGCCTACATCATGCTGTGCTAGCTGGAGTTTTGGACACCCAAAACCTGAGTTTGCATTTCTTTTATTCCTTTTCTTTCCTTGGGAACAAGTAGGGATGGCCCCAAAGTATTTTGGTCATTTAGACACATTCCAGAAAGTGGAATTCAATCAAAAACTGTAACCAGAAAATTAATCACAGAATAATTTATGTTGGAAAAGACCTTTAAGATCAGAGTCCAACTGTTATCACTGCCAAAAGTTTCCCAAAACACTTAAATTTGCAATCAGTTTGAGTTTTAGTATTTGCTAAGATGCTAAAGTAGACCTAGAAAGACTTCTGTTTCACTTACTGATATCTTCAATGACCACTGTATTGTCCATAGATACATAAACTGCTAATGAATTCCATTCATCAAATAAAGCAAGCTTCCTAGAAAACATTGAAATAATAATTAATATAAACTATTAGGACCACGAGGGTAGCTTTTCATTCAGGACAATTAGACAGTTCTTGAGTAAAAAACATCAAATTGGTTCTTTGGAAGCACACATTCGTTGGGCTGTTTTTGAAGTCTCCATGTAATAAGAAGGTAACTTTGAATGTTTAATATATTTAGAAAAATAAATACTGAATCGTACCAGGAAAAGCACACATGCACCATGTGAAAACTGTTTTGTCCTTTTGCCAAATGCAGCAATAGCAATAGCCCAACCACATAATTAGGTTTATTACTTTTTAACAGCCTCCGCAGTGGGATCCTGCCCATTGTGCCTGGTACTGTCTAGAGAAGGAAACAATTCCTGTGCCAATTCTGCACATTACTTTTTGCCTAAGAAGTTCCACTAAATTCAGTAGAATTATTTCTGTGCACATGCAGACAGCACAATTGGGGTGTCAAAAGCTAGATCAGCTAAGGGCTTTCAGCAGCAAAAAGTTAGAAGGGAGGCATTTTAGCACGCAGGTTTCTGTCCATTTATGTGAAGTCCAAGACTCTGGGGAAGTGAGTTACACTCTTACATTGCACAGGCAAAGTCAGCTGTCTGAAATAAGCCAGAAAAACGTGTATTTGAGCACTAGGACATGAAGAATTTGTAAGTGGAACAGCTGAAGGCCAGGGCATGCTTTAGCTCCTCTGCAGAACATGTCTGTCCCAAGACTGCAACGAATTGCTGCTGAGCACTCAGGACCCTGCAGTCTAGCCTCCACTTGAGGTTTGGCACATCCGCCTATCCCTCAGAAACACAGCAAAGTCAACTTTGAGTGTGGTTTCTAAACTAGGAGGAGCTGACCATGCTTTATATGGCAGCCTTCAGGCAGAACTGCAGCTCACACAGTGGTGAATTGCAGTTCAGTTGCCTCTTGGCCTGGCTGGCTTCACTGGTTTCATACCACTACTGTGTAAGCTGCATGGTGGCGCTCTTGACCTGTCAAAGCTGTGCCACTATGAGCAGGGAATACCCGTCTCTGGTGCTTACTGTCTAGGGCATGTCAACAGCACAGCAGCAGAGACCTTTCTGCAGGTTTTCCCCAGGTTTTTGGTGTATTAAAATTTAGAACACACCCAATCCCAACTCAGTACCTGCCCTGCAGGCTACAGCACCATGATCTGCACTGTACTTGCAGACACATGCCATACACAGTCCTTGTTCTGGGAGAGGGACATCAGCCTTTAGAATGGTATCTTGGGCCTCATCCTGGTCTCTGAACAGAGCTGCCCCTAAGCAGAGGAATACATGCTGAATGAGCTAGCACAAGCTGACTTACTTCAGGACTTGAGCAACTGTATTTGGTCCAAACCATTCTCCAATTGATTTCCCCTCTCCAACACCCATCTGTGCTGTTTTTTATGAGGGAAACACACACAGGAGAGGAAAAAAAAGAAGACCACAGAGAGTCTGGTCACAATCTATATTAAACAGCATGACCTACTGATATTTTGATATACATTCTAAAGCAATTGCAAACTGTATTCAGCAACAATTATTTTCTCAGTCTATGCTCTTTTCAAATCTTAATGACTGCTAGTTCCTTTACAGAAAGTTTCTAAACTGTAATGAGAATTACAAGTATTAGTGTCCTTTATTAGAAATTACAGCAATAAGCATTGTAACTGTCTATTTTAATACTATCAACTCTGAGGCTCACATACTTTACCAAGAGCCAGACTGTCGCATGCAGGTCTCAGTGAATAACATTCCTGAATCATTATACTTTGTACCCATTTGCATGCATTTTTTTTAATATATAAACATGTACACTGTCTTCATAATCACCTTTTTAAAGTTTTGAATTAACATTTCAAATTAGAAAGTTTCAACACAGGAATTTCAGTGGGAAAAAAGAAAAGGTGATGTGTGTTCTTACCCATTTGGTGGATGGAATAGCAACAATCTTTTCTATCTAGAAAGCACCGTAAGATTCTGTGATATTCTTCTGGTTGTTTTTTGTGTTTTTCCCATTGCCAATCTTACAGGGGGAAAAAGAAAAGTCATATAGATTAAAAAATAATAATATTTCCCATCATCCTGATCAAGTTTTAGCTAGTAGAAAGTCATACAGAGAGATACTAAAAGACTAATGTAGACTCCATCTGTAATATTTACACTTTGTTTAGAGTCCCTTGAAGTCACAGCTTGTCATTTATTATCAAACTGTCCTTATCATCACAGGCTAGATTGTGAAAACTGGGGAAATAAAACAAAAATGTCAATTGCAAATATGTTCTGAGTGATCATTGCTGAGAAGAGAGCTATTGCTGTATGTGAACTTCCGAGAGCGCTGGCAAAACAACACACTCCATGTAGATTTTGTTAGATTCATAAGCATAACGTAAGCATTTGTAAGATAATGATATGAGATCCATAAAGCAAAGTCCAAACAATGCTGGCCCTCTCCCACAGCTTCCACCACATAGCTCTTGCTTCTAACATAAGGTAGTTACTTCCCATTTACCGACGGAGAAACACTTACATAGGGCTGACAGTATGAAGTAGCTACATACTACAAGTTCATAGCCTGTTTTTTCCTCAGGTAATTTGTTTGTTTGCCTACTCCATCAGTTAAATCATTGCACCTATGTTCTGTGGATTCAGTTATTCAAGTGGATAAATCCAGAAAGCATGCTGCCATAGAAACCACAGCATGACAGCGTAAGGATTACACACCTAACTGTAAGAACCTAATTGACACAGCAGCTACACACAGACCAGACAGACCTATGATACTTATCCGTGATCCTGGGATGTGAGGTGCTGATATGGGCTTAAGAACTTGCTTGGGTTCTGCTTTGGGGTTTGGACCTCAGGGTGGTGGTGGGTGTCTGTGGAATACGTAGGGTGGTGTCTATTGCTACGTCAGTATTCATACAGGCACTGTGTGTGAATGTTTGGTGCCTATGTACGCAATGAAGAGAAGGGCAAGAGCTCAGACCCATGGTGGCAGGTTTTCCCTTGTCCTCAGCTCAGGCATTCCTCAAAACCAGTTATAAAACAAAGACAGTAAGATTCCCTGTTTGTTCTCTGTCTGTTTCTATTTCAGCTTAAGGCTGGCATGATTTTGCCCCATCAGACAAGAATAATTCACTAGTAGCTTCTCTCAGGGCACCAAAGAAAGTTTCATTAATAAATTTAGGTTTTGGGATTGTATGGAGAACTACCACAAAAATTAAACAGTCTCCAAACAATCCAAAAGTTCACTCAGCAATAGTACTCACCTCTTCCTAAATGTCTGCAGATCAGTGCTTGTGCTAGCATCATCTGCCCACATCGCAGCATACATCCCCAGCCAGCATCGGATGAAGGACCAGTGCCTCCTATTAGAAAAGTTCATTACAATCAACATGGGCTTTAAAATGAATGCAGCACCACAGAAAATATCAGAGTTAAAATCTCCAACAACTGTGCTATGGATAGAAGGTACTGAGCAAGACCACCTCTTTCCGTATTGCTGGTTGGAACTAGATATCTTAAGGTCCTTTCCAACCCTAACTACTGTAATGATTCTATGATTCTATGTCTAACTTTACTGCTTGCTCAACAGATGTGAAGACCTGATGACAGTTGTTAAAAGCTTTAGTATTTTACTTACATAAACAGTTAAAATGATGCTCAAATTGTTCAAATACTGTAAAAATCATTTTTCAGTCCATGGTAACATCACTGTCTAATTGCTAACAAGGCAGCTGCTCTGCTGCATACTCACCAATAGGCGAAAACTTTCTTCTATACGTAAACCAGAGACGAGCACTTATATCCAACAATAACTTAGATTTGTCTGGAATATTTTTAAGAGGAAAGAAATTATTAAAATGGATTTTTAAAACTGAAAAAAATTATCATTTTTCCTGTACAGTCAATATATAGATCGCATGGAAGACTCCTGTTAGCTTTTACACACAAGACCCTTAAAACATTTTTAGCTGTTTAAACACAGAAAGCTTTTGCAGACTGCTAATTAAAATTACCTTATTAAGGATGAAATAATTATTAGCCAATGAAGATTTCCACGGTGTTTGGATGACTATGCCCAGCCTGAATGAAACAACTAGGGAGAACTATGTCCTCAGGAAAGAACTGGTAAAGCAAGTTCAGAAAGGCAAAGAATTTCTACATGCAAACCAACATGGAATTATGCATTACCTCCAAACCCAATACAAAGTCATTTTAAGAAAAGGTTCATAATATGAAATGTAATTAAATCTATAT